AATTTTTAGTTGATGATATCAAGAATATAGATCAATCTTTGAAAATACTTGGGCTCCTTGAAGTTGTTTGAATAAATCATCGATACGAGGCAATGGATACTTATTTTTTTATGGTAACTTGGTTTAGTTGCCTATAGTCGATACAGAGTTGCACGGTACCATCATTCTTCTTCACAAATAGTATTGGATCTCCCCATGGTGATACACTTGGTCTGATGAAATACTTATTCAATAATTCTTACAATTGTTTCTTGAGTTCCTCTAATTTAACTTTTATCATTCGATACAGAGTCTTAGAGATAGGACTCGTACTAAGAATTAGGTCAATGAAGAACTCAATCTCCCGGTCTGTAGATAAACCTAGAAGATCTTCTGAAAAAAATATCAGAAAATTCCTTTATCACTGATATTTGTTGTAGATTGACTTTTCTACTTTTATTCTCTACTACGTAAGCCAAATACCCTGCACATCCCTTCTCAAGTAATCATTGAGCTTGAATGCAAGATACGAAACATGAATGTTGAGGCTCTCTAATCCCTTTAAATTTAAATGCCTTATCATTGGGAATATTAAAATTAACCTTCTTTCCATGACAATCTATATTGGCATGGTACACTACCAACCAATCCATTCATAGTATGACATCAAAATCATGTATTTCTAGGAGTATGAGATCTACTGATAGCTCTCTGTTGGTAATCTCTATAATACGTGCTCGACAGACTATACTAGTGGTCAAGTCCTTATTGGTCGGGGTAAAGACTACTAACACATAATCTAAAGGTAATTGTTCAATGTTCAGATGCTAAGCAAACTCATGTTATGCAAAAAAGTGTGTAGATCCTGGGTCTATTAAAACTTTAGTCAAGGTATTAGAGAGTTGGATTACATACTGAAAGGATTGAACATCTCACTCTGTAATGGCATTTACTCTTTCTTGAGTTGTTTTTCTGGTCTGCTCTTTGTTGATAAGACACTCTTTGATCCGATGTTGAGTACTACCACATCTGAAACATCCATTTGTCAACTTGTAACAGGGTCTGTTACCATGGTTCTTTCTACAATGAGGGCATATTTACTCTAGCTTTTGTGCTAGGACTATGAGATATGTCTTCTGCCTTTTATCGAGTTATTATGGCTCATAAACCTTCTTTTTATTGTTTGGTATGAATGGTCAAACCTGCTAGATCTGTTGTGAGACTGGACTTGTAGCCTCTTCTGTAATCTGGGCTCGTTCCAGTGCTTCTTGATAGTCATTAATTTTCGGAACGAAGATTTTATCCCATATCTCTTTATGCAGACCTCTTTGAAACTTCTTGGCCGTTCAGCTTCCATATGCTACTAAGTTGGGCACGAACCGAGCTAGCTGTGTAAATTTTTCTACATATTCTGCCACCTTTATATTCCCTTACTTTAATTTTAGGAACTCCATTTGCTTTTGTTCTTGAACAAAGTCAGGAAAATATTTCTCGTAGAATGTTGCTCTAAATACTTTCCAAAGGATCGATGTCCTCAACTATCCCTTCTTTAGGCACCATTAGTGTTCTGCAGCTCCCTTGAACATGAATGTGGTTAATTGTACCTTTTGCTCTGAAGTGGGGCTGAGAACATCAAATATCTTCTCCAACTCCATGATCCACTGTTCGGCTAATATTGGGTTGGTTGCTTCCGTAAATGATGGTGGGTTCATCCTCTTAAATCTTTCAATAAGCTTTATATTATTTTTCACCATTGGCTGGGTGTTACTGGTACTAGTATTATTAATGTTAGTAGCACTTTGGCTATGTGCTGCGTGTTGACTTACCGCCATAGCCAAACCTTCGACTATACGCATGAGTCTTTCTAGACTCTACTCGATCTGGTCTTTCGAAACTCGATGTGTCTACTCTCTTGATATCCTTGTCATTTCCTACATTCATGAAATTCAAATTTAGAGACATTTTCCTATGTTTCATAATTTTATCTAAGTCTTATGTAACCCTAAGTCTCGTATTTAAGGGATGTCCTAGAACTGTGCTCTGATACCATTTGTCACATACTACATCTCGTCTTATAGGGTAATGACCGGAGTATACTCTTTTAAGTCATATAGACTCGATTAAGTAAAAAAATTTAACTTTATTAATAATAAAAGAGTCACATAAGCATTACACCCATTAAATATAAAACATAATACATATGTACGAGGCTCTAAATTTTTTTATTTACATTACTAAACAAAAGTACGAAACAGTAACTTTAATATCAGAGTGTAGACTTCAAAATTTTTTTTCTATATCACTGCTCACTCAGCAGCAGTAACTTCAGTATCTGGAGGGTGATAGGGGGTAATATAAAATATCTCAATAAACAGTATTATGAAATCACAACATAATACATGCAATATATAGTTTCTTTACACATAACAAAATATATATCATATAATCTTTCTAAAACAGATACGAACTAGAAGATGAAAGCACAAATCAGAAAATATATTCATGTTGTATACTTCATCACTATTATGGAAGATCAATTAGTTATCATACATTATGCGTAGGCACATATACTTATCACTGGTTTTCTATGTACCCGAACACGAAACGACATATATGAGTACCTTGAAATACTGCTACTCATTGAACACGTAACGGTTAGGGCACACATATTAGACTCTTTCCCCACACACCCGAACATGGAATGGTTATGTATAGGTACACACTTATCCTTTCACTAATACATCCGAACACGAAATGGTAATGTATGACCAGATTGAAGCTTACCATAATGTAGGTACTTTTGAAATAACTTTTTTCTATAATGAGTGATGTACACATATTAAAATTACATTTTGAAAATACAAAGTGAAATAATACTTATATCGAAATAAAATTTTAACAAATACTTACTTAGCAAATATGAAACACAAATAAAACACGTGCACATTTTTATACTGAAAATACATAAAATACTTCAAAACTACGTAGGTTATGAATCCATAATATCCGCTTACCTTAGGTCCTTAGCAGTCGTAGTCTTAATTTCGACAGAGTTCTGACTTTATTTATGACTTTGTTCTCTAAAAAATTCGGTAGAGTTTCGGGTTGATTTTTTGTTACTTTCTTGACTCAAAAATATCTAACCCAATACTCAAAAACTAATCTCAAAACTAAAAAAGAAACCGAATTTCAAAACTTAAGAAAAAACTTAGCCCTTTTATTGTGAGCCTTATTCCTATTCTCTTCTTCTTTTTCTGCTCTCATAAATTTAGTAGAGTTTCCCTAAGGTTTTATCTAAAACTTCAAAATACTCTAAAAAATCACACACTTCATCCTTCATTTTCTTCATTTACCTTTATCTTTTTCACTTATTTTTTTTCATCTGGGATGTCTCTTCCTCCCTTCTTTTATCTTATTTATAGGAGTGAAGAGTCATGAGGGAAATGTTGCCACCATTCCGTCTTACTATTTCATCTAAAAGTTGTCACATTTCATCATTTTACTTCCTTAAAAGATTATAACTATTCACATGTCGTTTTATCTAAAAGGTCTTTTTACATGATACTTAATCTAAAATGTTACAACTTTTCACATGTTGTTTTATCTAAAAAATCTTTTTACATGTCACTTTATATAAAATGTTACCAATTTGTACATATTACTTTATCTAAAAGTTATTATTTTTTATTATGTTATTTTATTTAATAGTTACTACTTTTCATCATATCACTTCATTTAAAAGATTTCTACATTTTTTCATGCATCTTCATGCTTATTCTAGTTCCTTCATCCTTATCTATTTTTTTTTTCGTTTGACTTTAAACTATATCCTTAACTTTATTATATATTTTCAAACACATGTAAAGCTAAATTAAATATATTAAATATATTTAATTAATTATGAGGTATTTTCAAGTTATCACAATTATGTTATTAATATCAAATTAAATAATCAAGCATCAAAATAAAATATACTAAAGTTTGTTAATATTTTTTCTTATTTTATATAAATGAAATTTTTTATTAAAAACCTACCTTTTATTTTAGTTTATTGTATTTATTAAAAGTAAATAAATTATAATTTTTTTTCTTGATTACATATTTATTAAAAAAATAAATTTGTTAAACATACTAATACAACTAATAAATTTGTATTACTAAAATAGCTCAACAATTTATTTTTAGAAAAAAAAAATACATACTATCTTATATATTATTATAAAGTTTATGATTTATATATTTGTAGATTAAGGCTGACCAAACACTATCTTAACGTGTCTACCTATATATGCATATGTACATAAAATGTAGATGATAATATTCAATAAGATTTTGAAAATAGTCAAACTTTCAGCACTTTGTAAACAATTATAACTTTTTTTCTCAATATAAATACAATGATTCTTGAATCACTAATAAATAATAAAAAAATTAAAGATTGAAAGAGGGTATATAACAAATAGTGATGAATCCAACATTCATAGTATATTATGTTTATGCCTATATATATATTTTAAAAATATTTTACAATTACTTAAAAAATTGTATCACTTTATATGTTATTATTTAAGAAAATATTAATTTATACATAATTAAATAATGTATAAGGTGTATGATTTATAGTTATGTAAAAAATAAATTCATAATTATCATAAAAAAGAATAAATTCATAATTAGTGTGAGACTTATTGGTAAGTGCAGATTTACAATTAAAATCTACACAAAGTTTTGAATTTCTTCTAAATATGACCCTAATATCTAGAACAATCCTCCATGATTTTTGAAGTTTCCTCCTCTCTAAAATTCACCAAGTTACGGTCGCTGTTCTTCTCATTCATAATTCATAGTAAGCACAACACCAGATTTCGGCACTAGCATTTCCAAGCCCAGATCAGTCTAAGCCCACTTGTTAAAAATCTGGGCCGAAGAGCAAAACCCAGTGAAACCTCAGAAACGAAAAATACGGTGTCGTTTTTCCTCGGTTAAAAAATTAGGAGGTGTCTGTGGCAGTGATCATCGTAAAGAAATTAGGAGAGTAGGCAGTGAAAGCAAACAGAAAGAGAAAAGCCGAGAGTGGAAATCATAGAATGCGAGGCAGAAAGAAGTGGAAGACTGAATCCGAGAAAAGGAAAGAGCAGAGGTGTCGGTGGCAAGCCAAACTAAGGAAGTCGGACGGATTGTTGACCCGATAAATAGCTGAAAGCAGAGAAGCGTCGAAGAGAGAGCAGCGGCAGAGAGGAGGGAGTTTGGAGATTGGATGTTCTAGGGAGCTTGGGAACGGATTTTGAGAGTGGTAGGTATAGTTGTTTATCTTGGTTTCCTTTGGGTCTGAAAATAGCGAGAATCATGGGGAGTTTTCAGTGAAGAAGGGGAGTGGCTAAGGTTCCTGGGTGTGGAGGCAGATTAACAGAACAAAAAGAGAGAACTTAGAGCTGGGAAGTTTATTTATTTATTCTTTTGTGTAACTTTCTCGGTTCCAAGTGGAAGGAGAATAGAGGAAAAATTGGGATGAAATTAATCAACCTAGACCAAGAGGGGATGTTTGATGCCTTTTAATTTTGTTCTATTTTGGCCCAGATTTTCGCTCACAGAAATGATTTAGCCCTAATCCGCTCCAGTAAGATCAGTAAATGACACCCCAATCAACAAACATTGGCTAATAATTGAATCCAATAAAAGTGAAACATGATGCAATGATAATTCTCTTCATGTGCTTCAAAGATTTAGGTTTATTCGGCTCTTCACAGATTCTGTTTTCTCTTTATAAAACAAAGAAGCTGATGCCCTATTTTCGTTCTATCTAAGATTGCATGTTATATGATGCTAATGTTTCTTATGAGCTATTAAATGGATTGTTAACAGGGAAGTGTTGGCTCACTAACTGGATTGCCTACTGCAAAAGGTTAAATTGCATCAGATTCCATGGTACCTGAACCTTTGATGTTTCGCTAATGGCAACCTCCAGGATTTTACTCTCATTCCTCCGTCGTTCTCGTCATCTATCTTCTGTCTCCGCTTTCTCTCCAGTGCCTCAATCTCTTGCCCTCTCTAACTCTCACCTTCTCTCATCACCATATCAACATCGCTTGCCCCCGTCCCTTGATTCTCTTCAGCCCTTTTACTTCTCTCTTTCCCGCTTTTTTTCGGTTCAATCTGAAGATGGCTCTGAGTTTACGCGACTTTGTAATGGTGATGACTCAGCTGCTGTCTCCATTCCCCACTTGGATTCTGGTAATGTAGGGTTTGCGGAGGTTAGTGACGCAATTGCAAATGCTAGCGGTGAAGAGTCGGTTTTGCCCATTTACATGCTGATTTCGTTGCTTGATGGTTACCATGGGCTCACTGGTTTGCCTTGGTTAGTTGTCTCTTACTTTGGTTGATTGTCTCCCAATATCATTTATTTGAATTTATTATATATCATATATCTAATCCACAAAATTAGCTTAATGGACCAAACGTAGCCTGAAATTACTTATTTCCCGAGTTTGTTGCATTTTTTCTGGAACGCTTATCTCTGGATTCAACAAACAGGGTCCTGAATAATCTGGATCAACATCTACACTCCCATCTGTTTTTGATGATACTACAACATTGTTGTTGATCTTGACATGCTTGTTTACACCTTTTCATTGTTCACTGCTTGATGAAAGTATAGATGATAGATGCAAAGAGGATTAATTTTTTTGGTTAGTTGATATTTGTGGCAATATGCATTCACATTAGCTTACTTATTCTTTTCTAGCAAGTAATGCTTTGTGGTTTATAGGCTATGCATCAAGAATTGCCTTTTTAAAAAAATCTTATTTCTTTAACTATCTAATAGAAACAAAAGGAGATTGTTTATATGCCTTGTTGATTATGAAAGTTCCGTGGTTCTTTTAAAGCTTTTATACTTACCAGGTGGATTGTTATAGCTTCATCCACTGTGGCTCTCAGAATTGCATTGCTGCCCATGCTTATATTGCAACTTCAGAAATTGAAACGAATTTCAGAATTGTTTCCTAAATGTAAGTGTATCTTATCCTATTAATTTTTTTAATGTTTATTTATGCTATTGTAATTGGATTTTGTTTTCTTTCTCTGGAAGTTGTTCTTAGCTACTTACTTATCATGCTTACCATGACAATGGCGTGGATATGGGTTGAGTTTCTCCACCCTAGCTTTGTCCTGCCAATTATTATCAATTTGTGGTATTCGTTCTTTAGTTGATTTGGGAATTAAAGTTTTTATGCCTTTCCTTGCTTGGGGAGTTAAGGCTTCATTTGGTATGTGAAAATATTTATAATTTTTTTTTCTAAATTTATATGTGGTTATGCATGTTTTTGTTCATAGAAGTATGTTGTACTTACAAATTTGAGGAATAATAAAAGCAAACAAAATAGTTTTCTAGACTAGACTAAAACGACATTTTAATATCTTTTAGTTTTTTCATTGTTTTCATCATGATCTCTTCATTGTTTAACTTCTATGACTTTGTGAATAGAATACATAAGTTGGGAAAACGAAAACTAGATAACTTTTTTATTTATGTACCAAAGGGAGCCTAAATTCCTCACCTTGACCCACACCAAATTGTCCTACCTTTATGAGAAAATATAAAAATTATAAACAGATGTAATCTAATTCAAAGTGCACATTTCCTCACTAGTTTTGGAGAAAAATGAGAATGTTCTATTGGCTAGAATAGCTTTTGCATCCTACAAAATGAGATACAATTGAGATAGCATATCACAACTGCTACTTGACCATCACAATTAAGAGTACTTTTGTTGCTGATGCTTTGGTTTCGATATTGTACACTTTGGGACGGACAGATGTTTTTATAGACTGTTAAATTAACTTCTACAACCACATTTACATCAATTCAATAGGAAGGTTTTTGTTGTTTTCATGGTATGATTGCATGGGATTTGTTTTTTTCTTTTTGGATGTTAATCTATTTTTCTTTTTAGTGCCTCCTCCATTGCCACCACCTCAATCAGGAAGGAGTTATATTGAACAACTTTCTCTTTTTCGGAAAGAAAGGCGAGCAATTGGGTGTCCGTCATTTTTATGGTTTGTTGCATATTTCTCCATCCAGGTGATGCTCTGGTCTATTCTGTGGCAATGACCTCTTTTCCAACACTTCTAATTAGTTCGGCATGGTAAATTTTTTTGTGTGGCATGCAAGATGTAGGCAATCGCAAGCCTGTTATTAGTGGAGATGGAAATATTATCAAATAGAAAACTAGAAGTTTACACGCATTATATTGGATAAATACAAATATTAGGATTTTTAAAAATCAAGAATATGCTATACAGCTTATATAGGTACAGTGGTTGCTGCATGTTACTGTCTCTGGAAGGGAACAGAAGTTGTTTTCAGGTCAGTTCATGTTATATTCTAATCATTTGCAACGAAGTTGGTTATAATGTGAGAGTGGCTGTTGCAATACTGAACACATTTAGGTGCCTTAGTCAATGTAACACTCTTGTGTGGCCCTTTTGTTAATGTGATGTAAGTTCTATGTAATGGCAGCAAAATGTCAACAAAATCACAGGGGAAAGGTTTATGGAAAAAGATTTGCATGGGTAGAGCCAGATATCAGTCTTGTATCAATTGGAAGGCTAGAAAGGGTGATCAAATTAGTTTTTGGCAAGACTAGTGGTTGAAAGGTGGAGTCGTAAGAGATCAGTATCCACAGTTTTTCGCCATAACTCAATAGAATGAAATTCTGGGAAGTGAATCTTTCAGAGATATTGAATGAAGAGCTGAGGAGTGGCAAGTAGATGTACAGAGAAACCTCAATAATTGGTAGACCAATGAAGATGAGAATCTCTTATGTCCCTTATCTTCCATTGTCTCGGATGGTAGTGACAATCAACCCATATGGAGTCTTACTAAATCTGGAACTTTTACAGTCAAATCCTTTTACAAGCATTTGATTAAGCAATAAAATGGAGACAATAAGTTTCCTTTTAAGCAAATATGGAAGGCTAACGCGCCCCTCAGGTGGCTTTCTTTGCTTGGAATGCCAATAGATGTTACATTCTGACGATTGATAAATTGATGAGAAGGGAAATGATTATGGTGAATGAGTGCTACTTGTGTAAAGGAGCTGTAAAAACTTGTAATCATGTTCTTTTGTGATGTCCAATAGCATACAAATTATGGTCGATGATTTATGGTTTATTGGATATTAACTGGGTGATGGTTGCACCAGTTAGAGATTAAATCCGGACATGGAAGAGCAGAAGTCGGTGAGAGAAATGCTTTAATCTTATTTTATTGACCATTTTCTGGGTATTATGGAAGGAGAGGAATATAAGAACTTTTGAAACTTTAATAGGATTAGGAATAGATGGTTCCACATCCTCAATTTTATTATTTTGGGCCATCTGTGGTATTCAATAGAGGATTTTAGGGACCTTGATGACATTTTGATAGATATGTAATTTTTTTGTATGCAGATTGGCACTTGTTGGTGCTTGTTAATATACTTCATATTTTTATTTTTTATTTTTTTAAAAAGTAATAGGAGTAAGACAATAATGATATGTTCCATGTACAAGAGAATTGGAAGAGGAGCCCATTCAGGAGGCGGGACAAAGAGAAATTATTGTATCTTATGTTTTTGAATCATAATTAGGATCATCTTGTGGAAAGTGAGGATCTTTATGACAGAAGAAAAAAAGGTATAAGGTTGATTGGGCTGGTAAGGTTATTAGCATTTAGGAAATTAAACGTGAGGTCATTGATGAAGGGCCTATAAAAAAATGTTTCGCATGTCGAGAGGTAGAGTGGTTTAATCTTCTAGCAATAGGGACATTTTGTTTTGAAATACTTCTAGTAATAGGGACATCAAGGGGGTTTTTAATTCTATAGTAGGAAGGTTGATCTTATTTGCATTTCATGTGAGTTTCGAAGTATAGTTTCTCTAGCAATTGGTCTTTTCTTGAATCTATAACAAATGGGATGGTGCAAAGATATATTTGTATGGTACGAAAACCTCCCATGGGTTATTGGAGGAGACTTCAACATGGTTCTTTCTCATTTCAAAAGGTTCTTCAAATCAACCTTCAAAGTTTGCACAACCAAAGTTAAAGGTTTAGTAACATCTAACCTTATTGATCTCCCTCTTTATAACGGTCAATTAATGTGATCTAACATGAGAGACAACACATCTTTATCTCGTATTGATAGGTTCTTGTTTTTCCCTGATTTGAGGACATGGCTCCATATCTCTTTTAGAAAGTTTTTTCTAGGGTGGCTTTGGATAATCATCCTGGTTGCTTTTAATTGACTGGTGTTATTTGGAGGCCTATTTCGTATCGGTTTGGAAACAAATGGTTCAAGGTGGAAAGTTTTTGATGTTTGGTTCGATCATAGTGGGAAGAGTCTAACATGACAGTTTTGCTAGTTTTAAAGTTGCCAAGAAAATATCTCGTGTAGAGTCTCAAGTCAAGCATTAGAGCTCTAGGATCCTTGCAATGATGCTGCCTTGAAACATTTTCCGACTTTCAAGATTGCGGCTCTTGACAAGAAGGAAATTCCTTGAGGTTTATTAGAGATTTAAAGAGTTAGAAGGTAGAAAACCAACTTTGAACTTGAAAATATGTTATATATTCTCGTGGGCAGAGATTAAGAATCCTGGTGAAGAAAGGGGACAAAAGCACTAAGGTTTTCCACAAAATGACAGATTTTTGTTACTAAACTAATTTATTGTCCAAGGTAGTAATGAGTGGAGTGGAATATGAACAAGGGAATTACCTAAGGTAAGCAATCAAGGGATCCTATCAAAAGTTGTATCTAGAAGAGGGAACCTAGAACCTAATCTTGGTGGGATTGAGTTTGACAAAATTGACACTCGTGAAACTCTTTGGTTGGAGAGACCATTCTCACTGGAGGAGATCTAAGAAGCTCTTATGGTTAAGAGAAAAAGCTCCTAGTCCAAATGATTTTTCTATGTTTCTCTCATGTCGAAGTTGGGATGTTATTAGGGAACACCTAGTGTGCAAGGTAGTTTGTTGACGATGGCTTTGTTGCACAGGATGATGTGGTACAGATACAAAATTGGGGGAGCATAGGATCAATTGAAATATATATTATTCTTGATATAATAAGTATGGTATGGGTATTTTAATCATGTGTCATTTAAACAATGTAATATTAATTTTTGTGTTTAACCTTAATAATGTAATCATAATTATATTATAACCTTATTCATTCCCATTGAATTCTTATTCCATTCAATCATTATTTCTTTTTTTTTTTTTGAAATAAAAAGTATGATATATATCATTAATTAGAAGCACCAAGAGGGTGCTATACAAAAATATTTACAAGTCCATTAAGATGTTAATAAGGTCTCCAAAATTCCAAGTTCTGGAGCCATCTATCTCTATCCTTATTGAAACAGTCTTCCACTCTTTCAAAAGCTTTCTTGTTCCTTTCTTCCCATACCATCCAAAATATATTAAGAAGAATTACATCCAAATGTTTCTTCCCACCATTAATATCGTTTTAGGCCTAAATCTCATCCCTTATAGTACTTGTCGTTGCCCAACTAATATCTAGAAACCCATACGTGATGGTCCATAAGTTGTATGCAAGTTGGCATCAAAGCAAGATGTGATTAGAAGATTCCTCCCTCCTCCTCCATAGAAAACAACCATTCACTATAATTTTTTATCATCTCATTAACTTGTCAATAGTGAGAATATACCCCCCTCCCTCCCCTCCCCTCCCCGTGCCTCCCAAGCAAAGAAAACAACGCTGGAAGGAGTATTCATACTTTAGATTTGCCGAAAAGAAAAGTTGGTCTTTATGGAATCATTTTTGACCATGTAGTTATAGAAAGATTTAATTGTGAATAGCCCTGTAGAGTTGAGGCTTCAGGATAGTTGGTCATTGCTCACGTTCAAAGAAGCTAAATATAGTGATATGAGAACGAACTCATACTCATTAATTTTCTGATAATTGAGTATTTCAAAAAAAAATTCTAATCATTGTGGTTTTATTTACCCTTCACTATGCCCTTTCTTCCGCCCCCCCCTCCCCAAATGTCTCTAAAGACTCATAGACTGAGATATACTTGTATCATGTGATAACAAAAAGCGGGAAAAATTGATCTTTAGGTGCTCCCCCTCTAAGGAAGAGTTCATCCAAAAACTGATTCTTTCTCCATTACCAACCCTCTACCTGATGCATTTTTGAAATTTATTCATTCTCATATTCCCTTCCCATGTGGTCTTGACAATATTCTAGAATACCATCCTCTATCCACGTACCAAACTTCACTTCTATTACCCTCGGCCATGCAATGTTGTTTTCTTTTATGAACTGCCAAAGCGACGTACCCTACAACGCCGAGTTTATCTCTATAAAAGATCTTAACCCTAACCGACTCTGATGCATTGGTTTTTAATTTTATTCCAAGTCTATTTTCTCATATCTTCAGAAAGAATTTACATTGAATTGATTCTAATGTCTTAGCAATACTCATTGGGATTGTCAAAAGAAACATGTAATAAGTGGGAAAGTTGGCCAATGTCCTTTTAATAAGTGTGAATGACCTACCTTTATACATAAAATTTCTTTTCTACTTCGCCAACATCCTGTTTAACTTTGCCACAAGTAGGTCCACATCCTTATATTTTTGTAATTAGCCCCCAGGGGCATGCCCTGGTATTTAATCGACAATTTCACCCTTTTGCATTCCAAGTCTTCTGCCAATCTAGTAGCATTCCTCCCACCACTCAATCTCACCAATTCGGACGTAGTTAAGTTGATATTGAGGTTAAAACCACTTGGAAGTATAACAGAGTACATCTAAGATTGAGTAGAGTTCCTTCACTTGGTTCATAAAGCACTAAAGTGTCATCAGTAAAAAATAAGTGAGTTACCTCCTATATATGTTCACCCACGTCCACTTTTAGTCCTGTAAACAGCTCTAGTTCCCTGGCTCCTAACAATTTATTCAAAACTTCCATGACAACAATAGAAAATAATGGAGATAATGGATCCTCTTGTGTGAGACCTCTGGAGGACTTGAAAAAAGAAGATGGACTCTCATTCACCATGACCAGAAAAGATGTTGTAGTAATACAGGAGTTAATCCACTTACACCATTTTATCTTCAAAGCCCATTCTCTTTAGCATGTATTCAATAAATCTCCAAATAACGTGTTATTTACTTTCTCTATATCAAGTTTGCAAAGGATTCCTTCTCTATTCGGAAATATCAAATTATCTACAACCTTATTAGCCACCAGTGCCACATTCATAATATACCTTCTTTCCACAAAAATATGTTGACACTCGCCTACCACTTTATCTATCATCTTAGTCATTCTTTTGGTTAACACCTTCATGATGAGCTTGTAGATGCTCCAAGCTAAGTTAATAGGTCTAAAATTCTTGATATTAGCTATCTCCTCCATCTTAGCAATTAGCATTAAGAAAGAAGACTTTAAGGGTTTTTTTTTTAAAGTAAAAAGTATAAACAATATAGTATTGCTAAAGTACCAAGGGGGTACAATCTATTTACAAAAATTATTTACATTTCAGTAATACTATCTATGACATGTCCTAAATCTTGCACCCTATACATGTCGTATCCTCAAAAAAATATAACCAAAATAATGATACTGACAATCTTTAATTTTAACAATATCGCTTTCCACCCCTTTAAAAGCTCTCATATTTCTCTCTTTTCAAAAAATCCACAGAATAGTCAGAGGAATTTAAGGTTCTAACAAAGGATTTTGCTACATGCAATTCCTTGATCATTTCTAGAATATCTTGTTTCATTATATTGTCAGAATTTTTGTATAAAACCTATATTAAAGCTATTGGGAGTAGGGTTGTATCCTTACTACAATGCGTGAGTTCCTCAAAGATCGCCTCTTTATTTATTTAAAAAAAAAAACTTCTCTTTAGTAAACTATCTTTTAACCGAGATATGACTAATCTCATTCAGGGTTCTAAAATTGATATCGTCGAACTTAGGTCTTCAACTAAACTCCTCATTGTACAACCTACAGAAGAACTCCCTAACCTCTTGCCTCAATCTCTCGTTACCCGTCACCACTCGGCCATCAATCTCAAGCTCTTCCGCATAGTTGGTCCTCCTATGATAATTTGCTATACTATGAAAGAATTTGATGTTTTTATCTCCCTCCTTAATCCAACTAACTTTCGATATTTGTCCTCATGATATTTCTTTAATTTGCAATCTGTTAGCCAATTTAAGCTTCAAGGATTCCTTACGAGCCAAATCTTTAGTAGACAAAGCATCCTCGTCATTCATCCTATTAATTGTCTCAATATCTTGAAATAAAGATTGCGTAATACATACCATCACTATGCTCCTCCTTGCACCACATCTTGATTGCGGTTTTTGTTGCTTTCATCTTTTGAGCAATTTTTAAAGTTAGATTTACTAAACACCGATGCTTTTCTCCACCATTCATTGATCTTATTGCAGAAACCATTAGCTTTCAACAATTTATCATTGAATCTAAATGAACATGGACACACTCGATTCCACTGGATACAAGACAGATAGGAAAGTTGTCAGATATTGTGTGTTGCAAAAACTTTTGGCAAATACTCATTGCTTATAGTTGGCAAGAACGGATGCCAATAACCTGTCAATTCTTTAACACACTAGGTTGAGTTTCTGGTTAGAGCAAATCTATTTACCTCCTGTAATAGGAAAATTCATTAAATCAAGTCTATCAAGAGTCTTTTTGAATTTATCAGCGCAAATTCTCAAAAAATGTTCACCAGATTTTTCATATCTGTTCAAGATCATATTAAAATCACCTCTCACAATCTATGGAAAGTCCCATTTTTGTTTACAGTCTTTTAGGTCTTTCCACAAGAAACCTCTCACTCTTCCTTCATCTCTGTTGTAGACACCAGTAAACATCCATTTCCTTCCACTTCTATGGTCTTCAAACATGCATGAGATAGGACACTCTCCCGACATTACCTCCTCACATTTAAAAGACCCTTCTTCCATAAAACAAGAATGCCTCTTGATGCGCCTCTTGGGTGGGAGTTCTTATCTTTGTTTTCTGTTCCTTAATTTTTATTTTTGGCTAGGAGGATTTCATATCTTCCAGGGCTGTGCATTTTTCCTCTTTTATAATATAGTTTTTTCATTAAAAAGGAGCCGCAAAAAGTTCAGAAAATGAACTATGTATATGCATATGATTGTCTGTATAATTGGGTATGTGCAGATTTGCATGCATGAATAAGTTATTGGATAGAAAAGTATTTTTCTTTTACTCTGTGATAGAAAACCTTTGGAAGTCTAATACTATACTTTTTCATTTTTCTAAAGATTTGAAACTTATTAATGATGGCTTGGTTTCACACTTGTAGGTTCCATGCTTTCTATTGTGGATGACTAGTATACGGAGAATGTCATTGGATCATCATCCTGGATTTGATAATGTAAGGCTGTAGTAGACAGGTTCTTACATGAACATGTAGGTATTTTTTTAATCTAGGAAAGATATATACGATGTTTATGGTTTATTCTTAACGTCTGAGTATGTTGTATGTGATTATAGTTGAAGGCCTCATAAGAGCGGAGAGCCACACATGTTCCAAAATAGATGTTCTTGTATTGCTTTCACTGTTAGGTTCATTGTGATAGATTTGGACTTTTTCTTCTTGAAACCTGCTACAATTAAAACTTAAAACACATTGTACAGGCTGTGCAGTGGGTACAGCTGCAGTATGGAAGATCAGTGATTAGTGCATGTGCTTCCTCCAGCAATATTTTAGACCTTTATACCGATAGATTTGTTCCTTGCCAAGGTTTAGAATGATGGGAGCTGCAAAAGGAGTACTTCCTTAATTATAATTATGGGAAATATATAAGTGAGACAAAAGTGTTAGTGTATGAAGAATGTTAGTTAAGTATTCCTGCCATCAGTACAAATTGCACATATTTCTCATGGAAAAAACAAAAAAAAAAGAGTTCAACGGATGCTCTTTTTTGTGTAACAACCAATTTGCTTTTTGGTTGGCAATAGCAGAGGTCTCCTACCTCCAATTCACGGATGATGCAATCTTGTTCGGAGAATAGAATGTTATGTTTTATTGTTGAGTAGTTGGATACTATACATATGCTTTGGATATAAGCAAAGGAAACCCTAAAACTAGATTACATACATATATAGTTACACCTTCCAATATTTCCGCTCAAGATGGATCATTTTTTGGGTTTTGAGGTGGTGGTAGAGGGTCATCTTCTGAGTTTTGAGGTAATGGAGAATGGTCGTTTTCTGGTGGTGATGATGGTAAGGTTATGTCAAGAACAAATTGGTCTTGGTCGTTATCCTCTGGTATGGTCTTTCCCTGAAGATAAAGTTGACTGTACGACTTAATTTCAACAAATGTAACATCCATAGAAAAAAATTTTTAGTGGAGATGATAATATTTGTAACCCTTTTGGGTTGAGGAGTATCTTACAAAAACATATTTGAGAATTCATTTTTCTCATTGATGTTGATGTATGTGGACAAAAGTTACACAACCAAATATTCTAGGACAAGTTGATTTGTGATGCTAACCTCTAGGTATAATTTGAAAATATCACACAACCTCCACTTGCCTTTTTCTTTCAGCTCTTATGTCGTCACCATCATCATCATCAACTCACGCATCGAAATCATAATCACTCGAGATTGTTGTGCTCCATGCCACCGCCATTGCTCTATTTCTGAACCTTTTCAATTGTGGTGTCTAAATTGTAGTTATATCACTGTCATCTTTGTTGCCATTTCTTTTTCCTTTTCCTGCTTGGAGGCTCTATTTCTCCTTACAAGCCGAAGGGAAGAAAGAACAATCCCTTAAGCATGTTGTTTGGGTCATCTCCCATTTGGGGTTTTGATATTGGCATAGTTGTTGGTGTAGAAGAGAAATTGGCTTGGCTTGTCTTCAACATGAGCCTTGTGATTTAGGCCATTCTTATTTTCAATTTTCAATCAAAGTTAAAAAGCTGATGGACCATTCTTTTAATTGAATTTATGGAAATATGAGATTATGATTAAGTGCCAAGATTAGTGGGATTCAGATTATGAAAATATGAGATTATGAAAATATGAGATTACGATTAAATGCCGAGATTATTGGGATTTAATTAGGATCAATTTATAATTTTAAGTAAGAGAGAATATCTCTTAATTAGTTGTTGTTTCCTTCTATAGTATCTAGAGATATTAACTGCATGATAAGAATTCAACTTGTATATATACCTTCATTCTGTATCCAAAATTTACACAAAAAATAAATAATATTTTTACATGGTATGAGAGTTGTAGATCTTAACTACTGGGAAAAAAAAAGAGGAAGGGAAGAAATTTTCTCTCATTCATGGCAAGTAGAACGGAAGGTTCAATCCCGGAGGTAACCTCCAAACCTGAAGCAGTCCACTCTGGCAGTATTAACATCACAGAAGGCATCATTCTTATCATAATTGGTCATAAACTCAATGGTTAGAATTTTATTCAATGGGCACAGCCTATCCGGTTATTCATCTGTGGTAAAGGCAAATAAGAGTACCTTATGGGAGTCGTTGCTCAGCCGAAAGAAGATAATCTAGGACACCGAACCTGGAAACTTGAAAATAGTATGGTGATATCTTGGTTAATTAATTTTATGATCAATGACATAGGAGAAAATTTTATGTATTATGGCATGACAAAGGAGATATGGGATGCAGCCGGAGAGACCTACTCCAACATCGACAATACATCTGTGATTCGAAATCAAGAACATTCTCCATGACCTTTGGCAAGGAGATTCAACTGTTACTAAATATTTCAACATCCTTACAAGGTATTGGCAACAACTTGATGTTTATGAAGAAGTGGTGTGGACGTGTCTCGAAGATCAACTCTTGTACAAGAAGATCATTGAAAAGGAACGTATCTACAAATTCTTACTTGGCCTTAATAAGAATCTGGATAAGGTACGTAAAAGAATTTCAAGCATTAAGTCATTACCTAGTGTTAGAGAAGTGTTTTCTGAAATTCGCAGAGAAAAAAGCAGACAAAAAGTCATGTTGAGAATATAAAACTCTTCAAAAAATTTTGAGAACTCAACTCTGACTGCACAAGGAACTCATTTCAACAATAACAACAATCAAATTAAGAAGAATCGTCCATGGTGTGACCATTGCAAGAAACCTGGACATACAAAGGAGACTTGTTGGTATCTACACGGTAAACCTCCCGATTGGAAACTTTCTCAATCATAGCAAAACTGAGGAGATCGAGACTACACCACTATAGCCGAAGAAGACAAACCTAGCACAGCTCAAGTGGTACTGCAGTAGGCACAAATTCTCGTCCATTTAGCAAAGAACAACTAGAAGCACTGCAGAAAATGTTCCAATAGATTCTGCAATCGTCCGGAGCAACCAGTGGTACTGCATATGTAGCCCAGAAAGGTATTTTTTCTCATGTCCTCAACATTAGATAGGAAAATCACATTACATGGATAGGGGATTCTAGAGCGTCAAACCACATGATTGGAAACCTCATGGTTTGTCATGAATATACACCCTTCCGTAGTAATTCCTCTGTTCGAATTGTTGATGGAACCCTTTAAAGGGTAGTTGATACAGGCTCTATTATTATTTCCAAGGATATTACCCTTCACTCTGTACTCTATATACCGAAATTGGATTGCAACTTGTTGTCTATAAGAAGATTAACGCATGATCTTAACTGTTACTAAATTTCTTTCACACATATGTGAATTTCAAGACTTGAATTCTGGGAAGATGATTTGCAATGCTGAAGTGTGTGCTGGACTTTATCTGTTGAGAGCTGAGGAGATTCAAAAACTACCAATAAAGACTGTTTGTTTAGTTGACAGCTTTAGCACCCAACCAGATAGTACTGTTATGTTATGACACTATCAATTAGGCCACCCAAACTTCTTATATCCTGAAAAATTATATCCATCATTGTTCAATAATAGTTCTAGAAAATTTCAATGCGAAATATGTTAGTTGTCCAAATACACTTGCAATTCGTATTTCATTCAACCTTACAAATTATCTAATTCATTTTCTTTGGTATACAGTGATGTTTGGGGAGCCTCCAAAATCAACAACATTGTCGGTTTTAGGTGGTTTGTCACCTTTGTTGATGACCATACATGAGTGACTTGAGTATTCTTCATGAAGGAAAAATCAGAAGTAAAGGAAATATTTGAAAATTTTAATAAGATGGTTCAGACGCAATTCCAGGCAAAAATTCAAGTCTTTCGAATAGACAATGCTAGAGAATACCATCACCACATGCTCGGGTCATATTTGTTTGAAAATAGTATCATACATCAAAGCTCATGCATTGATACTCCATAGCGAAATGGAGTTGCAGAAAGGAAAAATAAACATTTAATGGAAGTGGTAAGGTTACTCGTGATAGCTTCAAACGTACCAAAACAATTTTGAGGTGAAGCAGTACTTACAACTACTTATTTGATCAGCCAAATGCCTCCAGAATCCTCAAATTCAAAACTCCATCTCAAGTCTTTCTCACTATATGTCCAATCTATTCGAATGATCTCATCTATCTCAGTTAAGGTATTCGGGTGTATTGCATTTGTTTGCATCCATAAGTCCCAACGTAGTAAACTCGATCCAAAAGCTTCCAAATGCATCTTTTTAGGTTACTTATCAAACCAAAATGGATACAAATGCTACTCTCCTACAACTAAGAAATTTTACGCCTCCATGGATGTCACCTTCTTCGAAAATCAACTCTTCTATCTCAAAAAAGCAATTCAAGGGGAGAACTAGTCCACCGATGAATTCTATTTTTGGGAAGCCGAAACCAACACCACCTCTCCTTCGAGCTTATCCCTGCCTCCACAAACAACTACTACTCTTCCTATCTTTGAAAATCCTAAAAAACAATTTCCATCCTATCACTGCCGAATCAGCTATAAAAGACACTAAAGAGGTAATGGTCTATTCAAGGAGAAAATATAAAGAAAATGCCAAAAAACCTCCTCAAAAGGAGCAAGAGGACAACACACCACCTGAGCAAAACTGAGAATTAGACCGAGATTCAAGCAACTTGGACTCACAACAAGATAACATGATTCATAATCTAGACTCCAGTAATGACTCGGATGATCTTTATCAACCTATTACTTTAAGAAAATGGGTAAGATCTTGCACTATGCATCCAATCAGCAATCATGTGTATTATGAAAAATTTTCGCAAAATTTTCAGGCATTCATTACTTCCCTCGAAGATGATCGTATCCCATCCAACATCCAAGAAGCACTTCAACAACCTGAACGGAAATCTACTATCAAGGAAGAAGTACAAGCCTTGGAAAAAAAATGAGACATGGGAATTCTTAGAACTGTCAAAGGATAAGAGACCAACAAGGATGCAAATGGATATTCACCGTAAAACATTATCCGGATGGAAGCATAAACAGGTACAAGGCATGACTACTAGCTAAGGAGTTCACTCAATCATATTGGATTGATTATGGAGAAACATTTGCATCAGTAACAAAACTCAACTCCATCAGACTGTTATTATCAGTGCCAGTAAACTTGTATTGGAATCTACACCGATGTCGAAAATGCATTCCTAAACAGAGAACTAGAAGAGGAAGTCTACATGAAAATTTCACTGGGCATGGAAACACTAGAAAATGCAAGAAAAGTGTGCAAGTTGAAAAAGTCTCTATGCAGCCTAAAACAGTCACCTAGGGTCAGGTTTGATCGACTAATTAGAATTGTAAAAAAGCATGGATTCACCCAATGCCAAGCAGATCATACACTGTTTATAAAGCATTTCGAGGAAGGTAAATTAGCTTTATTCAATGTTTATGTTGATCATATTATAATAACAGAAAACGATGAAGAAGGGATAGAGAGTCTCAAGAAACTGCTAGTAAGAGAATTTGAAAACAAAGACCTTAGACAATTCATATACTTTCTCGACACGAAAGTTGGCCGAACCAAATAGGGAATTGTGGTCACACAAAAGGAAATATGTCCTTGATCTGCTCCAAGAAACTGGAATGCTAGGATGTAAGCCAATAGACACGCTTATGGACCCTATGGGTAA